TTAATGTTGCACATGGCTAATTAGCATAGCATAACGATGCATAAGAGTAATCATTTCTAAGCAACTACAGCAGCAATCTGTGCACCATTGATGACTGAAGCTGAAAATTCCCTCTAACAATATCTGTCTAGGATTGCATAGACAATCATCAAGGTTGTTAATATTGTCCGTTTTGTGAATAGTGTGTGAAAAATATACAAAGAGCTTAACTTTAAGCTGTCGTTCTTGCAGTGGAGCTGTTAGCATGGTAGTACTAGATAATGTTCTTTTCGAAGTCACATTAACTTTTTTTGATGATGTGTGAGTTTATTACATGACTGTTTTCCATAGCTTTACTTCATCTGATATTAAATGTCACATAAGGTGAACTGTATAAATATATATATATTTTTTTTTATTAAACAGCTCATCTTCTCGATAGAGAATCTTTGGAAACATTTCCTGAGAAATAGATCCAGTACCACAACACAGTGATGCACACAGAAGATATAAGTCTAAAACCGGTTGTATATTAAATGAATAAATACCCTTGGCTAACGCTGCGCTTAGTAATAACTAGATATGTAAAGTTTTGTTGATGTAAAAAACAAATGACAAGATTTTAACAGGAGAGCCATTCAATGTAAAATATCCAGGTAAGAAGTAGAGCCTATTTGTGCTTGTTAGTTGGAAGAGATCGACATAATTTCAATTTCAAGAATTTGTCATTGTAAAAAAAAAGGCAACAAAATTGTGTTTGGGGTACAATACTTAGTAACAGCAAGTTCCAAGTAAAGTATATTGTTTCTTATCGTAAAGACAAGTATTATTATATTGACATCTGTCCTACTGGTCTCTGTTATAAGCTGCAGATTATTCTGGGACCATTCTTGGATGTTATTTCCTCCATCTACTTTGTAAGAATGACAATGACAACAAATGTTACACAAGTCTCCATTTTAAGGGACCTTTACTATTAAATCAGTAAGTAGCTTAACCACTAATCAGAATCTGAAATACTTTAATGATCCCAGGGGGAAACAGCAAAAACAGACAAAAGGCTGCAGGGGAAACACTAGCAAAACAGACATTTAGAAAATGATTTGACTGGCTGAAGACACTCGGGACCAAATAATTGAATTGGCCACACACATTTATTTGAAGAATCTATACTTTCTGATTTTCATAGAGATCAGCGTTTTCGGTAGGACACCTAACAAAATAACTTGTTGTACACCAAGATCTAAAAAAGGCTGATCTAATGTGTTGGAAGTATGGATCAGATTAAGGGGAATGGGGATACATAGTTCTAGTGCAGGAACTTAGATCAACTATCCTCCCCCAAGGATTATCATTTTCCCCAAGCCTGTAAAGCCCACATCAGGTTGGCTAGAAGCCCTCTGCCAGGGGCTTTGGCCAATACTGCGGATTAAAATCCTCCAAGGCTATAAATACACCTAGCAGACTAACGTCAGCAGCCAGCCAGCTATTGCACTCACCTCTTACGGCTGGATTGATGGCATGTGTTTTTCTCTTCTCTGCCTTTCATTTTCATCTCGTCCATCTTATCACTTCTATAATATTTTTTTCTCTACTTGTGTTTCTATTTTCCCTTAATTTCCATTTAAGTTTGTTTCCCCAGTCTACTAAGACTTAACCATTAAGACCCCCCAATTTACTCAATTCATACTTTTGTATTTGGTAGTACACCCTAATTGGAAACAAGCTGTGAGAGGGCTTTCATTCCATCCGATTTGCCTCCTGCTGGATTTCCTTGTTGTATGTCTCCTTCTAACCTTCAGCAGCTTTATAGCATTGTAGAAAGAAAGAGGCTAAGTACAAATATCTACAGATGATGAACAAAGGAACCTGTTGGCTAAGCCTTTGGCTGAAAGCGAGCAATGCAGGTAGACATAAACAGGCTAACCAGGGTCTGACCAAGTTTACATAAATCACACTGAGGAGATATAACCATTTATTTTAACTGCTTCGAACTCCCATGTAATAAATAATAGTTGAGATCAGTGTGGAGTTTATGTGATTATATGAGGTAAAAGAAAAACATACAGCTAACAGTCAATCAATGGAGCACCATGTCCCCATCAGACGTGACATGAACTCAGCATTGTATTCATTAGAAGGGGTTACACTGACTCTGTAACAACTTCCTTGTTTTCAGTGTGAACGGATAAGAGGGATTTGTAACACAAAAGACCACAGCTAGGCACAGAACAATTACTTCCACCCAGTTAGATACCAGACTGCACTGTCGGGCCCAAGGGGCTTTCTAACAGACTTCTGCAACTCTATTACAACCAAAAGGCATCACAGAAAACATGTTGCTGTAGTCATAGCCAGATTTTTTTTCTTTATAGAAACTGGTTCAAATAATGGATGTCTCCAGATAAGAAATCCAAACCTACATAAATTTGGTGAAATCCAAATGCTATCGTTTCTTTCTACTACAGTAGTTCAGTATACAGAAGAATTCACAATCTAATCCATGACAGCGAGGTCCCAGTGGTCTGTTTAGAATGAGCCTCTTGCCAAGATAAACACTGATCTGACTTTGTGGAAAGACACTGTAACAAAAGTGAAAGATCATTATTGTGACTGATTAGAAATTTGATATAACCTAATGGGAAAAAGGGTCATTTGTTGTCATTAAATAGCTAATGATACGAAAGGATATGCTGTGGACAGTCTGAGGCAGGCGTTCCCCTAGAACAGGACAATTCATTTCCACATTAGGATCAACTTTCCATAGAAAATAAAAGCAAACAGAAACACAAAGCCTGACCATGTCCAAAAGTCATATTTGCAAAGTGCAGCCATTCAGAACACGTAAGATCCCAGATATAGAGCTTGGACACAAGATTTCCAAGTGATTCCCTGATGCTATCAGAAACGGTTGTCTGTTTATTATGTTGTGGCTCTGGAAGAAAAAGGTACGTCACAAACATACCTAAATGATTTTAAAAAGGAACATCCAACAGGGCCTCAAAGTAAAACATGATGTCTGACAATATTTAGCAAGACTGCCAGGTGGAAAAGCTCTCACGCTGGTTAAACCATGTAAATCAGCTTGTCTGTCAAAAAAGTGATAAATAAAGTATAGCTGGCATTTAATGAAATGAGAGATTGTTTGTCATTTGAGCTAGAGATATCGAGCTGTCTATATAAAATCCCTATCTTGTCAGACTTGACAGCCAGCTGTTAGTCATCAAACGGTGGTAGACAGGATAAATATTTCATTTTGTAATTGTGATATGGAGAATGCTTTTTTGCCAAGCAAGCAAGTAAAAACCTTCATATTTCCATTTCTTCTGTCAATAAAAAATAAACTGTAATGAAAGCAGTATTTGGACTGGATGTCACAGCACAGATTTTCCAATCTTTGAATTCTGAAATCATGGACATGAGAGTCCAAACTAAACATCTTTTTCTGGCTTCCAACTCAACAGGATGGTTAAGGATATTTTCTTTTATTCACAGGAACAAAACTTCATTAAAATAAATAGCCCAGGACTGAATTCAGATCTCTGATATTTTGAGGTGGGATCAGAAATAAATAAAAACTGCAGTTTAGGTTCTAAATCATGTATAAATCTATTGTATCTGATTTTGAACACAGAAACGTAATGATTTAAAAGCCAAATATAAATAAAAATGCATCTCAAAATCTATAATAACTAAGATGAAGAGATTAAAAAAAAGAGATAAAAAAATCTATTTGTTTTGTAGTAACTGGAACTAAATATTCAAAATAATTTGTTTTTATTTTTTAAACAATATCAGATGATTCCTGCTTTTTCCTTTGCTCCATTTCCATTTCCTTACACTTCTCCAGATTTGGAAAATCATATAACAAAATCCAAGATTTTTGTAGTGATGGGAACTGTATCACCATGCAACCAATTTATATAACAAAGATTAATATAGCATGTCAGGTGTTCGAGCAGGGCGAAATTAAAATGTAAAAATATGACAATGAAATGGAACAATATTAGAACCAGCCTAAAGACTAAACAACTGATATGTCACTCTATTTTTGCCCCCAGTCTTCCCTGACATGTTGGGGTCACACAGGACACTATTCAGGGCCAATGCATTCCTTGCTAATGCAATTGGGTTTGTCTGGGAAATTATTGAGCAAACAGAAGCCAGAATGGCTTCCCCTTACTGGCACCAGTGCTTTGTCACTAACTAATCCGGTCCAAAGATTCCCAATCAAACAACCAGCACCACAGAGCCAGTAGTGAAAACATGGAAAAGTCCTGGGGAAAACAAAATGAATCCCACCGTCCAAAGCTGGATCACTGAGGCCAGTTTGTTCATCAGATTTGAGCAGAGAAAACACCATGGCCCAGTCTGGAGAACGGTGTCAGAGCAGGATTTTCAGCACTTGAAAGTATGGAGTATTGTGTTAGTGGGAGACTGATAACAAAACATAGCACTGTATTTGTAGGCAGACTACCGGTATTCAATACTTGGGAACCAGGTAACAGGTTAAATCTGGAAAAACTATGCTAAAATATTTGTCCAGTATATTTTATTTAGAATAAGGATGTTGGGTAAAAAAAACAAAAATTCTGCCGCAGGCTTACCCATGGCCAACTCACTTTAACAGTGTGGTTCTTGAGGCTTGACATTTAAGTTATTTTCTCATCTGTGCCTCACAAGCCTTCATTAAAAGGTCTATAACTGAGCAAAGCAGCAGAGCAAACACTGGGGATTGAATAACAACACAACCCTGTGATATGACGGCCCTATCTTCATAACATTCCAGATCAGAGTATATTTTCCTTAATAACTAAATCTTACAAAAATTGTATTAAGCCCCCCAAAAATAAAGATTATGACTATAATAAAACCACCAAATGTCTTAGATTATCAATATTATTTACATTGAATGTACTGATGATATTTGTTTTTTTTTTAAGAACATCACTGCAGTCAGTGGTTTGTTTATGTTGAAAAATTAGCTGAAAATGATAAGAGGAAAGAAGGGAAGTACTTACTTGTCATACTCAGCATTGTCCTTATCACAGCGGGCATCCTTGTGCCTCTGCCAGTCCTTGCCGTGTTTACAGGTGGTGAGGAGGACCACATCCTGTGAGTTATGTACATGGTATAAAGCATTTCTTGTGTCTGACCCTATTCCAGTCAGGTATCTCTTCCCCTTAAAAACAAGCACATACTTCCTATAAGGGGGGATTGTATTATGTCTCAAATAGCCCCTTTCTCCCCCTGTCCTGGGATGGTCTTTTGAAAATAGAGGGATAGAAACATCAAATTTAGGCCTAAAGTTTTCTGTACTTATGCTGGCCTTGGCCAACATGGCAAAGCCGATGTCAAAGCCGAGATCTTCTGTGTAATCTGGCCATGTCCCGGAATATAAATTGAAGATAATGTGGTTTCTGCCTTCATTCCACAGAGGAAGGCTTTGGATTTTAGCCTTTAGGTTGTGCACATATTGAGGTGAAAGCTGGTCCCGATCAAGTGTGTCCAAACTCAGGACAAAGAGACAGGCCTGTCCTGGGTCTGGTGTGTAAAACCTGGAGCCCTCTATGGAGGTCAAAATGTTCTGATAGCTCTCAGAGATCTTTTCTCCTTTCTGCTGCGGATAAACATAAACCTTAAAGCCATTCCTCTCACACAGAGAGAAGTCAAAACAGGACTCCATTCTGCATCGTTTTCCAGTGTACAGGAATGAGTTGGCGTCCCTCTTTTGTCTAGGAGACATATGTTCATTGAGATCCTCGTTCCGATCCTTTTCCAAGGTGCTGAAAGATTGCAAGTATCCCTGAAAGCGACGCCACCGCGCCCCGGGGTGAAAGCCGGCCAGGCTGCGGTCATCGCGCCGGCTGGGACCCCGTCTGGACAGCGGGACCTGGATCCCCCCGAAACAAAACAGCAGAACGAGACAGGCGCCGGTGGAGAACAGAATTAAGTATCGTTTTTTGGCCTGCATGTGTCCAGCGGTCAGAAGTAAGGTGCGCGTCTATGAATCCGACAAGTTGTGAAGTTTGGGTCTCACCACCTCCTGTGGGAGCGCTCCGCCATCTTCCCCCGGGCTGCAAGTCTCCCTCCTTCTGCTTCAGATGCCTTTCACAAGTCCGGGAGCTGATCCAACGCATGTGGGCGATTTTTAATGTCCATCCACCTCGCCTCCTCGTCAGTTGAAATGATGCTGAGAAACTAACAACAGCTTTCCCAAACTACCGGGCGGACTCAGATCTCGGCATCACAAGTCGCACTACACTTTCTTGGCGTAACACCACCTTTTTAGATCCAGAGGGGTAGTTTTTGCCTCAATTGTTCCTACCAAATCCGGATATAAACAAACAACAAGCCATAAGAGTACACACTTGAGTTGGAGGAGCAGAGAGGGCTAGACTTGTTGCCTAGCCAGCTGACTATTGTCTCTCAAATCCAGTCTAAAGGCTCCGCTAAGGCTGCAATCCAAGCTCTTGGCGGAGCTCTGAACCATTCATGTCCCACATGAGATTCTGGTCCGGTTTGGTCCTTTACTGCCTCTATAGCCAGTTACATCACCACAAAAAAAAAGGGCTCGCTAGCTTGTTAGCAAGCTAACTAACTAGCTTGTTTCTGAAAACAGTTCCAGTTAGCTTGTTAGCTAAGCGCTCACATCAAATATTTCTAACGTTTCCTAGAGAAAAATGCAGCATATCAGGTCCGTCTCCTTCCTCGAAAAAAGAAACTACGTCAAACCGTCAGCAAAAATCTGTCTACTACGTCAAAAGCGGCTAAATTCGTGTCTACCTTATTTTTTCCAGTCATGTAAAGTGCTGAAGTGGAGCTCATAGACTCACTAGTGGGAGAGCGGTGGAGAAGACAAGCCGAGCAGCTCAGCACGGCTGGGCCGTCCCACTACTGTGACCACAATGAGCTGGTGACGTCGCTCCAGGGTGCCTTCTCATTGGCTGCCATCACATCCGAGGTGGGCAGGGCTTCCTCCACACTCCTGCTATTCCAAACACGTACAGGTACGGCTCAGAAAATTGGAATATCATCAGAAGATTCATTTGTTTATTGACTTAGATCTTAGCTAAAAAGGATATAGGTTAACACTAGAAGTCCCAGAGAGTTTTCCTCCAAGTCCCCCCTCCCCTCTTCAAGTTTGTGTATTCACTCTACCTTGCCAATGTCCGTCTTGTAATGTAAATAACCTGTGATAGGACCAGCCCTTCTACATGAGGTGTAGAGTTCAGCTGGCCCCAAAAATATGAAAAAGTGTTTAATTGATATAATAACAGTAATAACAGTTTTAGTATCACAAGGAGGGTGTGGGTGATGTGCACAGTAATTTTGGTGGCACTACAGTTCATAATTGATGAGTTACTGAATATATCCCCCAATACAAATTCTCCCAAAATATGAAAAAGTGTTAATTGATATAATAACAGTTGTAGTATCACAATGAGGGTGTGGATGAAGTGTTCAATTAGATCAATTAAACTACAATTAACAATTAAGAAATGTTATGCTAAGAAAAGAAAAAAAAAGAAAATCTCATTGTAAATGAAGTTGCCAGTTCACAGAAAGCTTTATTAAAGCATAATAAAGGAAAATTGATTGGATTGAAAATCGGAGAAAGAAAAAAGTGTACAAATGAAATAAATCACAGTAGCCTTAAGGACAAACTCTTTGTAAATGTTTAAATATGATCAGCATGGATATTCAAGTCATTTCTGATTAAAGAATTACCATACACAGATGTATCCAGGACATGGACTGTAAAGTAGAGAAAAATATATGGCACGCTACGAAGAGAAAGATGAGAGAAACCACATCCAGCAATGAAGGTTGAATTAAGGCAGTTATTGCCAGACAATTAACACTTTAGCATTGCCACAAGCTGATCCCTGCTTATCTGATGTCATCATTTATGTACAAGGTTCCCGGACCAATTAATGGATATACTTACACACATGAACACACATATCGATAAACTGACCCATTCTTTATTGTTTCTATGTAATATTCCAATTTTCCAGCAGGGCCGAGCTCGTCTCTTTAAAATGATAATCATGGAAATCTAAATCAAAATCTAAATTATCTAAATTTACATAATTAAATTAAATTCTCCCTAAGAGTAATATGAGCATAACTGCTGTCATCTCTTCTTGTTTGCACTAGATGAGGCTAATTTGGAAATACAGAAAAAAGGATGCAATCCCCTGCCACTAGGACTGAAAAAAGGTGCTCTGTAGTAGGAATAAAATGCCTGAGAAGTCAAGACCCTGACAATTGAACAATGTCACTTTGGAGCTGGGTGTTTCTAAAAGCAGGTTGGAAAGACTTTTTTTCTTTTTTTCTTTTTTTTTCTAAATATTGTTATTTTGGTGCTAAATGTACTGCTACCATCTTTTCTTAGTAATTCACACCAACAAGATTTTTTTTCTCATAGTTTTAAGGATTCAAGCACTAAATTAACATGCTTGCTGATAGAAGTGGTATAGTAATTAGTGCCTTTGGTTTGGTGTTAGAACCCAGTAGAAATGTGAATATATATGGGATGCTGAAATCTGGGCCTCTCTGTGACCTCTGACTCCACAAGTCAGAATCTAACCTCAGAAGGTTTTCCGGTTAGAGATTGAGAAGATGGGGATTCAACCTTAAAGGTCGTGAGAAACATCAAGTCTGCAGATTCTGTCATTTTATTCTAAATACATTTAGCTGTGCCAGTTTATGGTATGATTAGAGCTTTTGAGAAGGAGAGTTTTGCCACGACCAAGAAATCAAGTTTCCAGGGCGTCCAGCAGTTTGACGGAAGTGCTTGGTGGCGCATTGAAAATACCAGCAGATCTATGAGATCTCACAAAATATAACAAAATTTCACAAAATACACAACCATTATGGAAAAAAGTTTACTGACTGAGAGGTTGTACTCCATATTATCATTGTTTAAATCGAAATTCGAGTTTCTTTGTTTTATGAATGTAGAGCCTGTTTCAATCATATTCAGTTGACTCATGTGTAACGTTGACAGATGGTTAGAATATGGCTACCTGATCCAAGACTAGTATACTATAGATGTATTCACGCTCTGCTAATGTAAACTTCAACTTAGACAAACTTAATTGTTATTTTGTATTCACAGAGTGTACACAAAACAACATTTTGTTTATACAGCTATACAGTTTATACAACCTTTTCTTTTTCAGAAGCAGCTTAGCAGTGAAAAAGAATAATAACGTGCCGCAGTGATCAAAATGTAAACAGTGTGGGAGAGACATGGTGCAAAAAAGTATTGATATATAAGGTTCAGAGCAGTGCAACATAAATAAATAGATTTTAGGCAAAATGCAGTAAAAACGTTTGAGTTGAGTCCTACTTTGAAGATTCACAATGTCAATGGCAATGCTAGCGCCAGTGGCTGTAACTTTCCTCTGACCACCATCAGTGGTGGCAGTTGCTCTTTGAAATGTAGCCCATTGTTGTCAAATCACTTTTATCAGAATTCTCTTGTTATGATCAATATGGCAAACCACCCAGGATGTCAGTCTGCCCAGGGGACGACGCAAGCACTGAGAAAACCTGCCCCCGACATTTTTTCTTTCCCTTTCTGTAACGCCTTGTGAGTAGGACCTGGGAATATTAAGGAAAAATGAGCTGTTTGTGAATGATGTTGGTATTAATTTACAAAATTTAAGGGTTATTTTATCAATCTTTTTTTTTATTAATCTGTATTTAATCTTGGAATTATATAACAAATCATTAAACATTGAACTGAATTAATTCGCTGAACAGCACTTATTTAAACACAGTTTGACATGAGAAAATAAGCTAAAGTAAAATTATCAGCTAGGTCATTTGTGAAGCTTATTTGGGAAAACAAGAAAAAATAGAATACCTTGTTTTCTCAAAAGCAGATTAAAGCTCTGTGTTCCCAATACATTCTGCATGAGGTAGGATGGGCTCATCTTATTTGTGCAGAAACTACCACAGACTGCCTTGTATAGGTGCCATCCATCTACCCTCTACATGCCAGCTTACCTGTTCCCCCTGAAGTATTCCCACAGTATAATGCTGCCACCACGATGCTTCACAATCATGAATATGTGTCAGTGTGTATGTGTTCCCCCAGATATAACGCTTTTTATAGTAAAGCTATATAGTAACGCTGTTCTAAAGTTATTTACATTTGCACTTTATTTGCAAATTGGGTGATCCATGAGGACAAGTTGTATCAGGATAAAGGTTGCTGGATACGAGTCAGTTTTGTTTTTGTTTTTTATTTTAACATTTAGATAGCACAGTTAGGAATCAGTTAAAAAAAACATTTTGAAAAGAGACATTTTAAGAGGAATTGTAAACTATATTTATCAATCAATTCTTAAATGCTAAAATTTCAAAATATGTTTCAAATCCTATTTCTAAATTTTGATTTAAAAACTTTAATTTATAAATATCTTTCCTGATCATATTTAGACAATGTCAATCCTTTTTTCCTCACCATGCTCATCATATCTTTTTCAGTTGCATCTCCCTTCTACCTCCCTCTTTCCACTCAGCTCTTTCATTGGTTAGAGTCGACAGCTTCGTCAGCTGCCGGAGGAGGTGATGATTTGCTGTTTTACCTGCTTCTTAACTCCAGAGAGAGGGAGAACCACCTATTTGGCAAATTAACAGTTTTTTTTTTTGTGGCAGTATGTCCATTTTAAATATTGGGGTCTTGCATAAGTGAGATATCAGGCTTATTAACAAACTCAAGGAATGGTCCCCATAGATTCTTCAACATCCCACTTCTACTAGTCATTGGAAGTCTAATTTTTTTCTAGGTTGAGAAAATAGAGGATGTCTCTAATCCAACATGTCTGTCAAGGTGGTAAAGATGATTTCCAGGTCGAAACGATCAATCAACCAAAAGGGTGGCAAAGGCAAGAACGTCTTTGTTAGAATGATCAAAAGTCAAATAATGTGTGTGTGCGTGTGTGGCCTTGTTTTACCTACAATGTGAGGGAAGTATTTTGAAAAATATCCTACATGCGAGGACTTACAGGTACATATGGGGACATTCAACTGGTCTCTATATGGTAAAGTTCTGTTCTTTGAGTTGGGGTTAGGTTTAGGGCTAAGGTGTGAATTCAGTTTAGGTTAGGATTAGGTACATCTTGGTAATAGTTAGGGTTAGGGTAAGGGTAAGGGTCTGGGTTAGGCCATATAAAATGAATGCAAGTCAATNTATATATATTTGTTAATTTTGATCTAACTTAGGCACCGCACAGTAGCAGCCCACTGCTCTACAAAGTAGATGGGTTAAAAGCAGTGAGTTAATTTCTCCACAGTGAGAAAGTTCAATTAGATCAATTAAACTACAATTAACAATTTCTTGATTAAGAAATTTTATGCTAAGAAAAGAAAACAAAGAAAATGTTGTTGTAAATGAAGTTGCCAGTTCACAGAAAGCTTTATTAAAGCATAATAAAGGAAAATTGATTGGATTGAAAATCGGAGAATGAAAAAAGTGTACAAACAACAAAAATCACAGTAGCCTTAAGGACAAACCCTTTGTAAATGTTTAAATATGATCAGCATGGATATTCAAGTCATTTCTGATTAAAGAATTACCATACACAGATGTATCCAGGACATGGACTGTAAAGTAGAGAAAAATATATGGCACGCTACGAAGAGAAAGATGAGAGAAACCACATCCAGCAATGAAGGTTGAATTAAGGCAGTTATTGCCAGACAATTAACACTTTAGCATTGCCACAAGCTGATCCCTGCTTATCTGATGTCATCATTTATGTACAAGGTTCCCGGACCAATTAATGGATATACTTACACACATGAACACACATATCGATAAACTGACCCATTCTTTATTGTTTCTATGTAATATT